TGTAGCAACCTCGTTGAGTCGGAACATCTTTTTTTTTTTTTTCTTTGTTCATTGTTTGTTCCCATATATTATCTTTGTTCTAATATTCTGTATTTATATTCTCTTTGTTCCCATCCTCTTTTTTCCTATTGTTTTTTGAGACATTCCCAGCCACACTATTGGCCTAATCCTATTGTTGCAGACCATGTGGTCCCAACATGCTCTTTTCGGCATCAACAATGGCCTCGGTTTTTCTACTATGCTCTATTGGAAGGCCATGAATAACAATTCAATAGTTATTGTGACTAGGCATATTGTAGCCCTAAATGCCGACGACTGCGCTGTATAACTATCCTCCTCTTCCAATCCTTTTTCTTATTTCTTCCCATACTTCTTGATACTTCCTACGCTTCTGTTTTCCCTCATACTTCTGCAATTGCAAAATTGACATTGAAGACCACTTCGAATTGAAACAGTAAACGCAACAATGTCGTCTCCATACTCACCAACTCGTCCCTGGCCAACTCTCAGCGCCATTGACCGGGATCACGAGTCGGGAATCCTCTACGAGGAGGAACGCCAGCAATGGTTGCAACAGCATCCAAATGTTGTTCCTCAAACCGCAAAGAGGAGTGCCAACAAGAGTCAGCGCGCCTTTCCAGACCGAGGCCCTAGCATGGCTAAAGGCCTTTGTGATATTGCGGGACGCGGTGCAGCTCGTCGCAATGGAACCACTGTGAACAAGAATGATGCGTAAGGACCATTCTTACCTAAACTTGTTGAAGCGAAAGTTAATATGACGAACAGATTTACCAAGCCATTGCCACCCATTCCTCAACAGGAAACCCGTCAGCCGGCCACCACAGTTGGTGAGGAGGGCTTTTTCCAAGGCTCTAGGCGCGATATCAACAAGATGAGCGTTTATTATGTGCTTGACAGATCCAACATGCAAGGCCACCACGGCGAAACCTCATTTGCTCAACAGGAAGCCTCTCAGCCTGCTATGGAAGTGGGCCAGGCGGCAGTTGTTGATGGCCCTGTCCACTCGAGTGAAAAGATGAAACCGAATTTGCTTCTCGAGCAATGCACACTGCAAGGATACGAAGACGAGACTCCATCTACTCAACCCACTGCATCTGAGCCGGTCCCGCCACCCGTTTCGTATTACTGCCGCAGTGTCCAGGCTACCTACGCCAATGGCTCCTCTGATTCCCATCACTCGGCTCATGCTACTCCATTTGCTGCTCCTGCGTTTGAGGCACCTGATGCTCAAGCCAGTCCCGGTTCCCATCGCAACGGTTATAGTTCAACCTCGTGGTACGAAGTTTCTCCCACTGGCCACGAATCTTCTCCGGATGCTCAGGGTACAGTGCCTCGCAGCACCACTCCAGTGCCCGAAATCAAGCAGGAAAATCAAACCACCGACATGGGGGCATCGATTGATGAACTGATTGCCTTGATCGATGAGGAAAAAGAAACCTACCGCCTTGCAAATGGAAATCACTCCCCAGGAACTTCATCTGCTGATTGTCTCGCTCCCCCCAATTCAGCGTCTACGGATATCTACCATGTGGACCAACATTGTCTTGCCTACCAGACTCCTGACTTCTTCATACGTAACACGGAGAGTCCTCTATTTGTGAGCCCCGGCAGCATTTACGAAGCACCTACACGCGACGTTGCACCTAGATCGCCTGTCTTCTCCCCGACTGATGTTCCATCCCCTTGCCTCATGTGGTCGCCGTCTCCTGTTCGTTCCCCTTATCCCAAGGGATATTGGTCTTCGGATGAATCTGAACCTGAAACTGCTGCATCCCCTGAGCCCCAATTTGATCGGGGATGTTCTGGTTCCGATGCGCCTCTGCAAGAGTCCCCTGTGTTGCCTTCGTCTCATTATCAGGCCGCTTCTCTTCAAGGAGATTCCACTTGGCGTTCGGACAACTCCAACGGGGTTGACACTGGGATTAGTCCACACCTTGGACAAATATATGTTCAGGATCACACTACTCCTGATTCGCCTCTCATGGATACACCTCCATCTCCAGCTCAAGCTCCTCCTTCTCCTGAGCGTCGTCCCAGTGATCTTCGTAAATATTCCTATGCCGGTGCGCCTCGCGTTGGAATTTATCCATCTGACGTCCCCCAAGATCCCCGGCCTACGCAGGTTAATTTCCCCCCGGATTACGTTTCATCCCCTACCAGCCACCCATGGCTCGGAGAGTATAGAGCCTGCATGGACCAGCAGCCTCTTGAGCAACCACAATTGGACGTGACGAAGCAGAAAACTACCTTCACCATGGATGTCCCCATCCGCGACGTTTCCCAGCATCAGACAACCGTTCACGGGTCTGAGTCTACCAATGGTGAACACAGCCGCGCAGCTTCCTTCGTCAGCAATGAGTCCAACGCCAGCAGCACCCCCAGCGACGCAACTATGAGTCGTGTCACCCAAAGCCCTGATGCCTACAGTTCTCAAGGCTCCGAAGACTCTCGTGGAACCAAGCGCAAGCGATTTACCAAGAACCTCTTTGGCAAGAAGGGATACCTTGAGAACAATGAGGAGCCACGCGACAAGAGATTCCGCCTTTTGAAGGAGGCCATCGACAAGGGACAATCAACCATTGGCAGTATCAAGGGAATGGTAAGTGCTTCATGACGCAGCTTTTGAAAAAAGAAAACTTACAGTGACTAACAATATTGACAGTTTTGGGATGACAATCGAGTTTTGGTCAGCTCATCCAAGCCCAGCATCCTCACTGAAAACACTGCCTCCATTACTCTGAACACCGAGGTGCAGTCAATTCTGTACGCCGAGATTGAGAACATGATCACCCACGCGGCCAACGAATTCCTGATGAAGGAGTATTATGACGGTCGTCTCACTACTAGTTCTCTCAACAAGGTGAAAAGAAGATGGGAGAGGAAGCACATGCCTGGTGTCCCTCAATTCCGTTTCGACCAAACTACCCAGTACAAGCTTATCAAAGCAAATCGCGACCATCTCAAATTCGGCCAAACCAGCAACGGCCTTGGCTCGAACACCGTTCTGAGAAACTGGAAAAAGATCTGCAAGAATATGAGCATCCGCACCTTTGTGGCTCCCGATTTGGTCATCAAGAAGCAAATCCACGATATCCTGGATCTCTTGGAGATCCTGAAGGCCGATGAATGCCACATTGAGCTGATTATGGCCCTCAATGCGCACGTTCGTGGAGAGCTGAAGAAGCACGAGGTGATGCAGCACTACCGAGAGACTCAGGACTCCGGAGACTCTTGCTCTTAAACTTCTACTTTCATCACTTGACCTGACCTGTTTGAGTCTGCTTTTCAACAATTCTTGCCTTGCTTTCGCTTTTCTTTTCTTTTTTTCTTTTCGTTTTTTGCTCTTCTGTCCCGGCTGTTCTGTTCCAGGACCTCGCCGTTATCAGTTTTGCAATTTGCTAGTTTCGCTTTCTGCTCCTTTTTTTTTTTTGCTATTCTGTTTTTGTCTTTTTATGCGTGTCTTGCCAGTGATGATTGAATCAACCAATCAAATCAGTCTAGCGTAATACAAATCCGACTCATCTCAAATGAATCCTTTCATTTCCCTAGTAGATCAAGGAATAAGCATCAAAGATACATTCAGGCCCATGTAGGTTGGTCCCTTGTCAATCGTCGGTGATTGAACTAATATTTGAACAGGGACTATCCTAATTTAACATGTACAGCATAACATGTCAATTGAAGCGAAAAAGCACCAAAAAAGTGAGGTTGTATACAAAACACGTGGGGCGACGTCATCGGCTTATACGATCACGGGTGCCAGTCACCGCTCTGCCTCTCAAGTCCTGGAACCATCTCTTGTAGACATTTGAATATCCATACCTCTGTGCGGGTCTTTCCGACAGAACGTGTTGTGGACCATAACAGTTCGGCCCCCAATGACCGTCAACACGTCCCGCGTCTAGCCCTCCATATCCGGGGGTGGAGATCAATACCAGCTCAAACATAGGGGCCTCAGCTCCGTACAAGTACTGTATCCGAATGGCGGGCCCGATCCACACATATGGTCCGAGCTGCCTGCTTGTGGATGAAGAGCAGGACCTCACCAGATTTCAATCGCTTCCAACACCACCAGAGATCCGGTCACAGTTCTTCTATATCTCATCATTGCCGATCGATGATCCACTGGCTCCCCTGCCTGCACCTGCGAGCCAGGGGACCGGGAATGAGAGACTTCCTCCCAAGCCATTCTCGGCCAGGGATAACATCGCCTTAGAGGAAGCTTGGCATGATCTACGGGAAGCGAGAAAGACCAAATTTGCGGGGAACCACATATCCAGGCCAAACACATCGACAGGGCCCCCTGGGATAGCTGTACCAGGTCATGAATCGGTCTCAGATGTCGAACACCGCAAGGCAGCCAACCAAGAGGATCCATTATTGGTCGGCAGTAGAGGAAGCACTCTGAGCGTCCCTCCTTCCTTCCCGGATGACCTACCCTCTCGCAGTCAAAAAAGTCAGCTCGCTTTTCCTACCGGCAGTGCTGGAATACGAACCCGTGAGCTCGGCAAGGAAAATCGCGCGAGCTCTCCACTGAGTGATGGGTTTAAATACGACACTCCGAGAGGAATTGCCATCGATCGGAAAAGAGCGCGCTCGTCTTCGATCAATGAGTCTAGTGCAACCAAAAGAAGAAGTAGTTCTCCCTTGGAGGCCGAGAACGTGGGCGAATGCGAGGAGATTGGAAGTCTACGAGCTAGTCGTTCACACGAGGCAAGCATGAGTGGCTCTCCTTTTATACGGGCGCCGATATCTCAGCCTCAGACGCCGCTTGGTCGCTCATTTGAGTCGTCTTCGTCAAGAGAAGGAGGCGAATGGCAGGCGGAACTCCGAAGCAGCACTGCTCCTCGAAGTGCCCCGAAACCTTCGGGCCTCAGAACGACCGTAAGCCTAGATCAATTGACCCAGGACTCGCAGAGGGAGAGGACAGAGGAGCCGAACACACAGTCAAAGATTCCAGTCGGTGTCTCACGACTTCACCTGGTCGAGGTCCCGAATCTCAAAGTAAGTATAATTAATTTTTCTACTCGGCTCTGGACTATAATGACGATTTCTTTCTCAGATGAAACCTATCTACTGGAGCCCTCTTCAAGACGTATCAAGTGTGGTCCGAGCTACTTGGTTTTACAAGAATACCATGTTGCCTGTTGAGACTGAACTTGCGAACAAATTAGAGGAAGGATACGTTTACTTGAAGCCATGGACCGACACTTGGCAAGATGAACTGAGTAGTTGCGTGGAAAACGGGGCTGATGCCGAGTTGAAAATTGTTCACCCGCTGTGGACAAAACAAGACAGTCAGCGTACAGCTGCAGAATCGCCACATGGTAGTGATTCACCTCTGGATGAGGCAGACGATCCCTTGAGATTCGACGAAAATCGAGCTGCTGGTGGCACCACTGTTCAATCTGAGAGTATCAAGTCATACCTCACATCAAGTGCCATCTACATCGATGCAACAAATGCCCAAGTACTTCGACCTAGCTTACTTCCCTCAGTATCGAGGGGACGACGACCTCTTAGTGCAATAAGGAAAGGCCGTCAGATAGGCATACCTGTGGTTCGCGGCTTTAGTCGAAAATTATGGGAACAATTGCACCCATCAAAGCCCAATCCTATTGATGTGCGCCACTACATCCGCAAGACCCAGTCGAAAAGTCCTGCTGCGCGAGGTGAACAAATATGCTATGCATGCAAGATGGAAGAATCGCGACCACCTCCAACTGACTTGGTTCTCGTTATCCACGGCATCGGGCAAAAATTATCGGAGAGGATGGAAAGCTTCCATTTCACTCATGCGATCAATGCGTTTCGGCGAGAGGTGAACATGGAGCTCAATAACGAACCTGTCTGGCCGCACGTGCGCCAGGACCATGGGGGAATAATGGTCCTTCCTGTGAATTGGCGCACTAACTTGTCGTTGGATGAGCCCGATGTTGAGTCGGGTATCGAAGACCCAGCTAGGAACAACTTTTCTCTTGCGGATATCACGCCCCAGACTCTTCCCGCTATCCGATCCCTGATCAGCGATGTGATGCTTGACATCCCTTACTATCTGTCACACCACAAACCGAAGATGGTCAAGGCGGTGATTAGAGAAGCGAACCGTGTGTATCGCCTCTGGTGTAAAAACAACCCAGGGTTCCAAGAGCACGGCCGCGTACATCTCATCGCTCATTCGCTTGGAAGCGTGATGGCTGTAGACATTCTCAGCCATCAGCCCACACATGTTCCTCATTTTGACTTTTCCAATACTGCTTTACACAGCGACATTTTCGAGTTTGATACTAGACATCTCTTCCTGTGCGGAAGCCCAGTCGGCTTCTTTCTGCTTCTCAATAAGGGTACGTTCGGAACATACATAGCACCACCTTGTATCTAACATCGTTACAGCTAGTCTTCTTCCCCGGAAAGGCAGAGACAAGCCAGGCAGCGATGGTGACGACTTACTGCGCGGCGTTGCCGGCGAAGCAGGTCAATATGGCTGTCTCGCCGTAGACAATCTCTACAATATCATGCACACAACGGACCGTAAGTGGAAGCCTACCAAAAAGATATCCGCATCCTCTTCGGCTCCTATACTAACAACCCCTACCAGCAATCGCGTACCGAGTCAATGCAGCAGTAGACTCAGACCTCTCCAACTCACTCAAAATGGGCTCCATCCCCAGCTCCACCTCAACCTTCTGGCAATCCTTCGGAAGCGTCTTCAGCTGGAGCTCAACCCCGTCAACATTATTGCCCTCCACAGCCCCTACCCGCCCGGTACCAATCTCCAAGCTCCCGTCTAATGTCGAGCTCGAGACCCATGACTTCACTCGCGAAGAGATCGCTGAAAAGCGAATGCTCCTACTCAACGACAACGGTCAAATTGATTATTATCTCTCGGGTGGTGGCGGGCCGTTGAATATCCAGTACCTCAACATGCTGAGTGCGCATAGCAGTTACTGGACACTAGGTGATTTTGTGCGGTTCTTAGTTGTGGAGATTGCGAGAAAGCAGGGAAGAGAAGGGACACTGCTTGCTTTCCGGTCTGAGAAGAAGAAGGGATGGAAGTATTCAAAGGGGTGATTCTATTTTCGGGCTATCTAGGTACTTTACCATATCTTTGATGTTGGTTTTTGCTCTGGGGATAGAATGGGTATGTGTGTACCTTGTGTGATTGTAATATTCGCATACAAACATACAAGACTCGTTTCGTGCAAAAACCACAACTTAGACGTCGACTATGTAGTTATCGTCTGATGAAAAAGAGGATCGAAAAATGTGCAGACAATACGAGAAGGCAAGGAATATACAAAGCTCAGAGACAGACAGACATGAAACCAAAGCACAAGCGGTTTTCAGGAGCTTCAGTCTCCGTCAGGGCGTAAATCATATATCATATCACATCTTAGCAAATGACCCGGGTGTCCGAGCCATGAACATCCCCCATCAATAGAGCCTCCACAATCTCACCCTTGATACCAACGCCCCGTCCAGCCCGTAGGACTACCAATGCATTCGCTTTTGCCAAACTTCCGACCTTGGAAGACCGCTGTCCGGCACCCTCCACCCCCGTGCTCGTCGCGTACAGCCGACCATCCGAGCGCGATGCCGTAACCACAGCACGGTGGTACTCCGTACGCTTGGGATCGAGCGGGAAGTGGTGCGTCAAAACGACAGCGACGCGCGGGAGACCGAGCTGCGGCGCGAGCCAAGGCCTAGAGCTGAGTGCCTGGGAGCTGTGGCCGAGGCCGGTGAGCTTGTGCAGCGAGGGGAGCACAAACAGGTTGAGGGTGACGAGGGCGGAGGCCGGGTTTCCAGGGAGCGAGAAGATGAGTTTTGATTGGCGCTCCTGCTGAGAGGATGTGGCGTCGCCAGCTGGTTTGAAAGGGACGGTTGCAAAGGTGGTTGGTTTGCCCGGTTTCATGGAAACGCGGCCAAAGTGGATGGTGCCGCCGAGGGAGCGCTCGATTGTCGGCTTGAGGAGGTCGAGCTCGCCCATTGAGACACCACCGGTTGTGATTATCACGTCAACACTGCTGGAGGCTCGGCCTACGCCGCGGAGGGAGTCGCGGAGGGCGTGCTCGAGCTCACTGGCAGGTGTGTCGCGAGCGATGCCGAGGTCGACGGTTTCGAAGCCCCATGAGTTGAGACATGAGAGAAGAGAGGGGCGGTTGGAGTCGCGGATTTGGCCGCCTGTGAGAGGTCGCGGGTCATTGTGCTCCACGAGCTCGTCGCCGGTGCTCAACACGCCTA